GCCGTCGGCCTCCGCGGCAGCGGCGCCTCCCCGCAGCCCCCAGCGCTGCCTTGGCTTTAAATTCTTTTTCGACTCGATTAAACGAAGTGATTTCTCTCCCCCCACCGCCACCCCCGGCAAAAGCTGGGCAGTTTTCTTTTGCTGATTTCTGCAAGAGCCGTACTTCTGACGCCTTCTGCTCCAAGTGCAACGTGTAACACCGGCGTTGCCTTCAACTTTGAAAACAGTTAACCTGTTTGAATTTGGACATTTCCTTTTTAGCTAGTAGGATTTGGAAAATGCTGACTGTTGTTCTCCTGAATAGCTTGTGTCGCCTGTTTGCGGGTTTGTGACCGGGCACGGTTCTGTTTTTCCGTGTCCTTGGTGTTCCCAACCTAACGAGAGGAGATAGCAGGCAAAGTTAATCTAGAAGACGAAAGTGCTAACAAACCGTAACTCTAAGAATGACGATATAAAGTGAGAGCTTACATGGTGAATTTAATAAAAACAGCTCTTAACAAGTCAAGTAATTTTTCTGTAACATAAAGGCATCTCTCTGTGAAGTGCTGCGGTAATGAGGTAACTTTAACTGTTCGAACTGTATCAGGAGAATCCAACTTAAAGCGTCAAAACACCTGCAACGCTCTCTTGAATGAGGCGTTATCGTAATCGAGGATAAAGGAAGACACTTTTGCAAAAAACACAAACAAAAACAACCTTCTAAAGTTGTTTCAAAGGCTTACGCATTACTGTCTTGTGACCCCTTGATAATTTTTTAAAAAGATATTTCATGCTTGTCAAATGCTTATTAGAAGATATTGTTTGAAAAGTATATAGATTTTTTTATCCTGCTAAGACATGAATCTTTATTTAAATCCAAGCTAGGTCCAATATGAGTACACCCATTTCAAAAACTGATATTATGTTCAGTGTTTGACTGGTGTTGGATGGTATTTGAGTCATAACTAGTTCAAGTGCTCCCCCAGAAGTTTTGACAGTATGCTGCTGCTGTTTGAATATTGAAGGAGTGTTCTTATAAGGTTGTTAACTGTATCTGGACTGTAAATTGCTGTGCAATTTTTTTCACTAGTACGGGTAATCCTGCTCTTTAACTTATAACAAACCATCACTTAAGATTGCTCCTATCCTTAAATAGCATTGTTCTGTCCTGCTTTTGTGTCACGCCTGAAGAGATGCTTCAGATTTAGCCAGGCCTATATACGTGAATGCCATAAAACAATATGTTTAGTTTATAATGAGCTTATTTTTTGGCAACCATTAGAAATAATGTGGGTGGGAATATCTTCATAATGTGCGCTTCTGCTGGTTTATTCATGTAACTTAATCCGGGTGTTACTGGTTCATCAGTTGGTTCTAAGTGAGCTGAACTTGCAAAAAGGATACTGTTCATTCATGCTGGTTTCTGACAAATTTGTCTTGCATTACAGAAATACTTAGGTGAGCTACAAGTAAGTTTAATTAAAAATGAAGCTTTCTACTTCAAAAAAATATTTTTTTTTTTCTGTGCTTAGCTATGCTGCTTTGTTGCAGTCAGCAAGAGGAAGGAATCTTGTTTCAGTCAGGCAAGAGCAATTAAAAGCATAGAGTAAACTTCAGGGTATTGCCTGAACTTCTCCACGTTCTGTACAATAGCTAAAGCTTGTTTTCGTGAAACTTTAAAAAAAAAAAAACTATAATACTTAAAATAGTTATTAGCCTTTTTACTAGAACTGAAGCTGATCTCTAATATTTTATGGATATGCTTCAGGAAGAAAAATTCTTATCTCAAGTGTTAAGATGATTTAACAAAAAATAGTTGTTTGAAATGATTTCCCTAACATCACTTGATTCTGTTGGTTAGTATTCCTTTACAGTTTTATATGTAAGGTGATTAAATATGTTGTTTTGATAACTTTTAAGCAAACTTAAGGCTATTCTATTTTGATAGACTTAAGTCCTAATAATTTGCATACCTTTCCTGCTCGGTAGCTGTGAGATTTCCAAAACTCTTGTATATATTGCTTTAACAGGTGCCTGGTAGAAGAGAGAGACCTGTTCCGAACAATGTCCAGGAGAAAGCCGGAGAGTAAAAGCCTTTCAGGCTTGTTAGCTACATCTCTGCAAACACAAATCAAGACAGACAGTTTTCACAATTTCTACATGCTTGAATCTAAAGAGCTAGGACGGTAAGACTGTTTATTTTATTTTATTTTAGTAAGAGGGATTTCTGCTGCAGGTGAATCCTCTGTGCAGCAACAGACTTTCTTTCTGGAAAACTCTTAGGGCAGTAGGTGGGAAAGTAAGTTTGCTTCTTCCCCCTGCTTTCTTTGCAGTATCCAACAGGTTCTCTAGGAATGGGGAAAAAGATACAGTGAGACATAAGATGTCGGCCTTTTCCATGATACTGTTACAGACATCTGAGTTGCTGTTTGTTTAAAAATCTTCGGGTTACTTTGTACCTTGAAAACATTTGAGGAATTAGGTATAAAGCCATGCAGACGTAATAGCAGCAATTCCCTGGTCTTATTTTCAAGGTTCTTAAGGTCTTCAGCCATGGAAGTGACACAGGTCAGTTCTGCAGTTGGTGTGTCTTGCTGTGCTACAGAGCGATCCGTTGCACCCAGAACTTTTTCTGTCAGCTGAGATGCTCTTCTGCATGTGACTTTGTATTATTTGAACTCTTCAGCATTTCCTGTTCTCTTGATTATTCTAGCATGCTTGCTTTATGTGGTACTCTTTAATTTAAAAAAAAAAAAGTGTTCCTTACAGCCCATAACTTCCCTCTCTCTTCTTACCCACTTTGTCAGCACTGGTTCTGGAATCCAAGCTCTACAGAAGCAGTTTACCCACCGTCCTCTAGAACTCCAGCATTCTGAAAACTCTGTATTTTCAGATTATATATATCTGAGAGATGATGTCTGAAGCAAACATATGTATAGATTTTGCAGGGATTCCAAAATGCTGTCCTTAATATACTTTCTATACTTGCAAAAATTGACTTAACAAAGTTAATGCCAGAATGTAAAGAAACTAGCTTTTCCAAACGTTTTGTTAGACTTTCCTTGACCTAAGTGTCCGCGTCTGTGGGTTTTTTTTTTTAATATTTTTTGAAAATACTTATACCTCTTCCGACATGGTGTAAAATCTACCTTTATATGTAGACCTTTTCTAAAACGTGTAGATTACTTTTGTTTTCATTTGTTGTTTTCTTCTTCCTTTTCAGTTTATTTAGTAAATGGTTCTTTTGTTCCTCTTCTGGGCTCAAGCTTCCTGAACCCCGGTTCTTCCTCCGCACCATTTTATCTTTTAGGTCCTTTTGGTATTTAAGACAGTGACTCATAAGTGAGGCAGGTCTTGTTTCGTGGGTTAAAGTAGTTCTGTCCCCATCATGTGAATGGTTTGTCTTCTTCCAGAGTAGTTGAATTTCTGTGGTTTACAACTTCGGATGTGAAAATAGCTTGAAATCGTTTTTACCTTATAAAATGGGGCTGTAAACTGCAGTGGGTCAGCAGCTGCTTTGCAGGCAACAAGGAGTGGGAACCACTGTGCTTGCTTCAGTGCAAGGCTTGAGATTTGACTCTTTTTTTCCTGTTTCTGGGGAATGCTTCAAAACAATTTGCCGAGGACAACTTGGCCAGACTTGTTTCTTCAAGCTACAGCTCTCCTGTTACACTGAAGTGCTGCTTCATATGTAAGAACTGTCAGATTTTAGTGATGCTTTTTATTGCTGGTTTGGGAGATAGCTATTAGCTGTCAGGACTGTATTACCTAAGTCAGCACATCTTGAGACAGTCAGTAATATGACAACTTCGTAACTTCAACCAGAATTTTAAACTAGTTTACAGACGCATAGATCCCATAAATTCTTATACAAGCACAAATACAATTTTGCTGGTGTGTGCGTATGTTAGCTTGTCTGCAGGTGCTTTTGTAAGTGTAGTCTTTTTTTTTTTTTCCTAGATCCTCATTTTAAAAAATGTAACTCAGTATCTTCATCTTTTACTAGCTTTTCTTTAAAAGCCTATTTATCTGCATGCTGAGCAAATGCTGCTATAGGGATTTGAATTAGTTTTATATACACCTATATATCCTACCTTTAAATGAGTTTATTCCGTTTGCTGGGGCATGGTAGCATGGCCATGTGAAGGCAGGAGTAAAAGAGGGATGGAAAAAGATGCATAGTGAAAATTGTTTGAGGTGAAAGACGTGGAGTCAATGTTGAAACACTAAAGTCTGTACAGATTGAAGCAGAGAGAGCAAAGGCAGAAGCTAGACAAAGGAACTATAGCATCCGTTCACATGGCGAAGGTTAACAGTGGATAGAAAATAAAATTATGTTGAAGAGGGAGGGAGTTCTATGCCGAAGTTTCTATTTGCATGGCAAATGCAGCATGTTTATGAAATGCATTTTTGTATGACAGTGGTGCATACTAATAGTATTTGCCAGAGTCTAGCTGTTTGTTTTTTAAGATGCTTATCTTTTTGTTGACTCCTTCGAAGATGTGTATTGATTTGTAGTCTCATTCTAAATATTAATAATCAACACGCTACAAATACAGTATAAATAGAGAAAATTTCATACATTATCAGTCCTTTCTGGAGATATCTCTGACCCTTCACAGCTGTTGTATCTGCAGCTATTGTATGGAAGATGTTCAAAAACTCTCAGGGAAGATCTTGCTGTTCTCATGAAACTTGAACAGTTCCCTTTTTTTTAGTTTTGGAGAAACTTTGTGGTTGACAGGATGATGTGAAATGTAAAAATAGAATATAAACTGTGTGCGACTATCTTCAAACTTAAGTGTATTGCAAAATTCAGCTTAGTAATTTCAAATACTCTGCGATAGCAATTGCTTTAACAATTAGGAAAATGCTCAGCCATTTCAGACTTGCAGATAGTTTCTAAATTAAGTGTGCATATATCAGTTTTTAAATGATCTTTCAGCTCTTAAATTGATTGCTTTTGATTGCTTTTTTTTGTGTTTTGTACTCCTACCTTTCTGAACTTAATGCATAAAAAAGAACAAAAAAACCCCAAAATCCATAGCTAACTGATACTGAAAAATGATGCTAGAGAGGCTGTTCTGTTTAATTTATTTCTAAAGTGATAGAAGTAAAAAAAAAATCAACTCTTCATATTTTATAATTTACTCAGACTTGTACAAACTGTATTTAACAGCTATGACTCTTCACAAATGGAAGTCTGATTTATGATGAGAGACACTTGCACCTTTTCTTGGTAAAACACCGAAATCTAGATTTTTTTTTGTTTTTGAAAGATGCCTCAAACATGCCTTTCACTTTAGATAAGTTTCTGTTAACGTTGTCTTTTGTATGAGAGGAAGGGCAGGGCTTGCAGGAAGCTAATATTTCCTACAAAAGAAGTTAATATAGTTGAAAAAGCAGGTCAGGTAGCTAGTACTCGGCCCTTCATTGGGTTTGTCCTTTGTGTGCTGTGGTGACAAAAACACACGTGGAAAGGCATTGTTTCTTCAAAGATGTAAGTGTAGGTCTTGTTCTTTGTACATAGTTTTATAACTGTTTCTGAAGTTTACATAATTTGTTTTAGCTGTTCAGTTTTTTGAAGAGAATGCTTCTTGTGTGATTTGAAAACATAAGTATGCAACTAGGCATTTCTGGGAATGCCTAACTTGTGATTATAAAACTTTGTTTTTTCAGGAGTTTATAACTTGGCCTAAAAACAGCATTTTTCCCCTAATTTTTTTTTAAAGGTCAGCTTGGTGTTCTAACTGCAGTATGTGGTTTTCTTTTTAGAAACATTTTGTTGCCAAAATACATTTTTGTTTCCATACTTAAACGGTTGGCTAGGAAATTAAACAGCAGACTTTGCCTAACTGTCATTGAGAAAGGCAATATGAAGTAGCGTGTTGTTGTTGTTGTTTTTTAAATAAAACATAGAGAACTGAATTTTTAGCAGTACCACTTGGTTTGTGGAGGGCACT